CCTCCCTTTGCCTAACAAGCAGCTTGCATCCTCAGGGCAATTAGTCACTGTCATATGAGGGCAAATGTAGAACCCTTTGCATGCTTGTTAAGTAAAAACTTACACAGAGGTCACTGACATGTAAGAGAAATGCAGTGTAACCAGTGAGCTATAGTGGATTTCCAGAGTAAAAGCCAGACAAAACTCCACCATTACAATAAACCTATGTCAGTGTGATTTTAGATATTATCTATAAGTTATTATTACTTATTAACAACTTGTAAGTGGCAAATCACAATCAGCTTTTAGTGCTTTGACTGATATTGATCACATTTATACATATTTGACATGGCATGTAATGTCACTGGCCAAAACACATAAGCCTCCAGATCCAAACAATATAACAAATTCAAGTTTGTTTGTTTATATCACTATCTGCATGACAATATTACTTTTCTCACCTAATAATAAGGAGTTTATAACAGATTATTTCCAAGACATTTAGCATAGAGTAACTACAGAAAAAGCAGCCTTCTGGGATATTACAGAATCTGGACACTGCTGCTTTTATAATATTATGTTTAATTCAGTGTTTGTGATTTTACTGATTTTCATTCAACCCTTCATGTAGGCTAATGCGTGTGTCTGACGTATTTCCATCTAGACAATTTGGCCCAATGCTTCACCCAGCAAAAACAAAACAAATCCTCCCCGTACAGCAAACTGAAGAATAAAGTGAATTTCACAGCCGTTCAGTGTGTGATTGTTTAATTCCACCATTTCTATGCATTATAAATGTACATTTCTTTCAGGGTGGATTTTCCAATACATACAGGGAGGGATATATAGGTCAGAGACCCCGGTGCCTTATCAGTAATTCGCCATTGCCTGGTTATTAAGGACAGCTTAGGTGGAGAGGGCTGGAGTACCAGGAGGGGTTAAGGTGAATTGATTGCCTGTGGACATGTTAAACATGACCCTGTCAGGCCTCCACTCCACTCCTAAAATGCACCAACCTGTGCACCTCACTCCAAGTAATCAGCTGTAGAGGCTTTAATAAAATTCAGAAAGCCCCGAGAACTTCCCCCCAGGGACTGTACCAAGTTGAAAATAATCGAAACCCGCGGCAAGAGACATTTGCACTGTGTTACCGTAGGAAGCATAACAAAATGCCTGGTGCTCTGAACCCTTAAAAAATGTTTTCAGGGAGAAAAAAAAGTTGTGGTTTATGAGCGTAATGGAAGCACATAGGTTGTTGTTGTTCACTGTTAAACAGATTGGAAAGTAATCACCAAAGTGTCTGTTCCTCTGCTGACTGGGTTCAGATGCAGCAGCTTGCAGCAGAGGGGCAGTGGCAGGGTAATTACGGGGTAACTTGGGCTCAATCTGTCTGTAGACGCCCTCCCTCTTGGAAGGGGGTGTTTCCCTTGATTAGCCCGACTCAGGGTGAAGCCCCCTCTGCAAACGGCAGATTGAAGTTCATCACAGGGGTCTCAGCTGCCAGTATGTTGCAATGAATTGCTTGCTGTAAGAAGGTGTTGACAGGAGCAGCTGGACATCAGAGAGTGATGAAAAGAAAGGGAAATTCATGGAGAACCCAGACAGAACGGTCCACTGGGGAAAAGACAGAGAATTGGTCATCTGCTGGTGGAGAGCAGAACTGCAGCCATTGTAGTTTGGCCTCAGGGTGTGTGTGTACAAGTCATATTTGTTTATGTGTGGCCTTTATTGAGGAGAAAGTCTGCGTTTGAGAGTTAAGAACACTAAAGTGTGTGAAGTTCAGTCACGCTGATTGATTGGATCACTGCAGCCTCTGGCAATTACTCAAGTGAAAACCTCCCTGACATAGATATTTAAGTCAAATGATAATGTGAACCATTCAGAAAATTATGATATGCCTGCAGCGTGTTGATAAAATGACAATAATGGTGAGAATACATATTAAATACTTCTATTTTCTTTATGTCATCTCTTGGCAGGCAGAGTGTACACTGGCAGGAATTCATGTCAGAAAATGTTGAACACATCGCTGTTTGAGACACAGATCACATCAAACCTTCTATGGCATCCAAATTATAAGTAATGACATTGGACGGGCCTTTCAGGGTGGCTGATGGCGACTGTAGGACATTACACACATATGTGTCTATTGTCTCACAAGAGCTGCTCCTTAGCTCAGCAATGGTGACTAATGTTAGTGAAAATGAGAAATGTGTGTGTGTTTTGATGAATAGAGATGGTGCCCTAAGGTGAGGACAGACTATATTGGTGTGATTCTACCATTCACTATATTAATGAACTGCCTCAAGGTGCAAATTACGTTTTAATGGGTGTTACTTTAGTAGCTTGGTTCTACCACACACAAAGCCCTTTCACTCAATGTTCCTCCTGCACCTTTTCTGGAAAAAAAAAAGCAATTACAATTTGAGTCATTTCAGTAATGCCAAAATAAAATACAAACATTAGCAGCTCAACTTCTCAAGAAAAAAAAATGCTTATTCATTTTGTTATGACACTATGTTCTGACTCTTTTCCCTCCACACTTGAAATGCCTCAACTCATACTGCCAAAATTTGTCTTCCACCAGCTTACTGTGAACAAAGCCAAACCATTTTGCATGCCTGCGTGTTTGAACCCTTCATGCCGTATAATTTAACGCTCTTTATTTTGCAGCAGGAGAATTTGGAAAGAGAAAATGTAGATTGCTACATTTCAAAGAAATAAGTGAAAAAAAGGGAAGTTTAGGGGAAAAAGACTCAAATGTCTTTTAAGTCAGTGGTTTGTGGGAGCAGCTCCCTGCCTAACATGGTCTCTTAGTATACTTGACACCAGCCACTACTTAATTAGCTGCCATCATCTCTGAGCCCCGGAGAAAGAGGGACAGGCTAATGATTAATGATAAAAATGCCTGAAAAAAAAACCTTTGACAAAACACAACATGTCATCCTGTGTCCTCTACAGACGTGAACTACTGCTGTGATTTACCCTCCTTGAAGCCGCCGAAGATCATTTATACACACAAACCTGATTAGGCTCAGATTTGTTTCTGCTTTTCCAAACACAGATGGGATTTTAGGATACTGTTTGCATTTTTAAATGACGCTGTTTCCCCCCACAATCAGTCATTCATACGGTATTTTTGACACATATAATGGCTGACTGTGCACGGTCTACAGGGAAATCTGAAGAGTCATGTTTCTGTCTGTAATGTAACGGTCAGGTTGTATTGCATTTTTTATGCTTTAACTCCTCCACTGAATCTCTGAGAATACTGCAAAATCAATTGCTTTATTGATCTATAACTAATTAGGGAAAGATAAATGGTTCAACTAAACAAATACAGGCTCTATAATGAGCCGATACAGTGCAAGACATATTAATTGAGTTCTGCATAATATGAAGCTATTCTTCAATATTAGACCTTGTATTGTGTTCGCAAAGAACTAATGTGACTGATGTTCCTCTAGATATACCTGAAGTTGGAACAAAACTGGAACATAAAATGATTTCAAGTCAAGTCAAGTCAGCTTTATTGTCAGATGTGCTATACATGCACAACATACAGCACAAATTAAATTTCAGTCCTCTCGGACCCACGGTGCAAACACGCAATAAAAAATAGAAAAGACATACATTTATAATTTGTTTTACAGTTAAAAAGATAATCTCAACATCAAGGTATTTTGTGTGCTTACACCAATGTAGCAACCAGATCCCATGGTAAAAACCACCTCTCCGGTGTGACTCGTGTTGTGTGCAGTCACCAGCGATCAAAGGCTAATTAGTTTCAGCTGACATGGGGTATGGCCCTCAGGTCAAAGATCATGACTGATGTTATGGAGATGATGGTGGAGAGAGCGAGAAGCTCGGGAGAGCCCAGGGATCTGAATCCTCATTAACCAGAAATTGTTGCGCCTACATCAAATCCCAGACTAAACTTAAACTGAACACATTTCCTATTCTAATCACTTGTATTACACTTTTAAAAGATCTTAACTCTGGGCTGTGTGAACATCTCATCCCTCGGTGTGTGCTTTAGTAGAAAAGGATAAAAATAGAAAGAGATCGGATTCCATAGATTTATTGTATGTTTCCCCAAAGACTATTTAAAAATCTACAAAAATATACACTATGCAGTTTACATTAGTGCCAGTGAAGTTCATAGACAGACTCATAACCAGGGGCTCCCTCTACAGGCCAGCTGTTAACTCCAACAGCAGGCAGCTCAGTCTCTTACTGACAACATGCTCTCTTGCAATGCTTCATTTGTCATAGCAGATGTTCAAAACTATTTTCCCTGGAAGCCTAAAATCTGAAGAAGTAAATTAATATCCCCTCCCCTCCCATTTTAAGTCCCTCAGACTCAGTTCATAGCCTGCACTAAGTGCCCTTGTTGACTCAATTGGATTAGCACTAATATGTAAACACAGGAGGTAAGAGGAGTAATCCTCTAATAAGAGGAGAAAAAGTGAAATAAATAAGTTGAAATGCCATGCCTTGCCTTTAACTGAGGCATCTGTCAGGTAAGCTGGATATGTGTGGATTGAACGTAGGTATTAAATGTGGACCAGGGGATATTCTGAGGTAAACAGTTGTGACCATTCAGTGACAGCGTAATTACTCGTTTGTAACTTAGTTGGATAATAGGAATACAGCCTCTAGGGGATAAGACAAAGACTTGTTAATTATTAAAGCTTACATCAGCCAGGCACTAGAGAATTGCAATTATTAATGTTGTTGTTCTTGTTTGTGCTTAAACACTACCTCTGCTGTTAATATGCTCATTAACCAAAATGAGTGATTTTATTACTCCTGATTTGGTTTGGGGTTTGTTAAACGTATCAGGGCTCAGCTGTCGTTGTTAAACACTTGTGGACAGGTGATGAGAGAAACATCCCACTGATTCTTATTTTGTCAGATTAATTCTAAATAATTATATATATATATATATATATATATATATATACACACAGACACACACACCTGTATATTAATTCACAATTCAGAAACTTTTTGCTCCTTGCTCTTTAGTTATAGTGCATTACCGTGTGGTGCAGTTAACTATATTCCTTCTATAAAAATATTGTGATTCAGTTTAATCATACAGATACACCGCAAGACTGACTCCAATTTAATGTCACTCATCATACTGCAAAGAATCTCTTCCAATTTAAACATAATATTGCATTGCGCTGAAGATTAAACAGGTTGTGTCTAATTAAGCAAATGTTCTCGCTCAAATTTTCCTGTGCCATCTGAAGTCCTCATTGAAATGGTGCGCTACTATAACATAACGCCTTTCTGTAAATGAAAGATTGCTCTATTAATATCTGTTGCAAGAATTAGCAAGGCTCAAAATGTGAATGACTTCCACAAACTTAATTCTGAAATAAAACATTATTTTAATCTTCATATAGATAAATATTTTTTGTTGGTAAAACTCTTACCAATAAATGCTCCACTTACATCCTCTGCCAATAGTGATTTCAGGTGTCCACACTGTTTTTGCTGCTCTTGAAGACTCTAATTGGATCTGTCTGTTGATCGAGGAAAGAAAAAAGGAAAAAATACAGCCTTAAGACTACGTAATAATGTATGAATGTGACTTATTATAATAAACAATAATTAGTTTAACTAAAAGTTAGATATATCCGTCCATAACAATAATTAGTTTTACCTCAAGTTTGAATTTATATTTACTCAACTCAAATCCGTTGTTCTTCATTTACTTCACCACTTGAAGCCACAGTGAACTACAACTGTTGTGACTGTAAAACTGCTCCAATTCTGTATGTAGCCTTTGCCCAATTTAGAAAAATATTAGAAGATATTTGTGATATACACAAACAGCTAGAAAAAAATGTTAAAGCAAACAAGCAATTATATTTGTTCATTCTCCATTGTGAGTTAAAACCATATGCAGCTTTAAAGGGTGTTCCTCTTCCTAATGGGCCCCGTGGGGACGAAGGGGTTAATTGATGCAGATGTTGATCGCTTTTACACACGATGCAGGGAGCATCTCCCCGGTGGCTCCTATTAGAGGCAGTTTTAATGAAGTGCTAAACAGAAGGCTTTCCTACAGTGTGGCCTGTCCTCAGGAATACTCGGCAAAGAAAGCACTTCACAGGAAAACAAGGTCCCCTATTGATTGTCATGCCAAATAACTGAATCCTTTCCCAATCAATGCTTATTTCTCAACTTATGGAACCTAATAGAAGACAATGTGAGAGAAAGTCAATCAGTAAGGCATTATATTGCTTAGGGCAAATGACTGAGTGTGTGGTTGTCATGTGGAGAAAAAACACTGCAGTTTTTAACCTCTTCATGGTAATGGTCCCAATAATTCAGCTGTAATTTCACTGACAGTTTCATGGGTGGAATTATTATTTAGGGAAAATTCTGAGGCTCTATATTATTTTGGATTTTTAAAATTGTTAATTTGTTAAGAATATTTTATGTGATATCTTCTTGTGTTATTTGCTTTGAGTTAGATATTTACAATACATGGATTACACTGGGCCACACAGGGAAATATAAAGAATTAGAATACAGACCATACCAAAATTCACACATGAATTTATTTCCAAAAACACTTTTTTATTTCAAAAAATGACATAAGAAAAAAAACATACTACATAATTCGTACTAGTCAGTGGAGGTTGGTTAAAGTGATGGTAATGTAATGGGGCTTCTCACGCAGCGTTACCAGCCCACAGTCACTAAATTCTGCTCATTAAAATGACAAACCCAAACACACGGTTACTCAGGCGTGATCTTCAGCTGTGTATGGCATCTGGCCCTGACGCACCTCCGCCCCCAACTCCCTAGAGCATCACACACAAATACACACACGCTCGCAGACACACACATGCATGCACATACAAACACACACGGAAATGCTCCAATCAAATTTTAAAACAATCAGCATTCCTTTCATTTCCAATTTAGTCACCTGCCACAGCTTCTTATTAGTGTCCACTGTGATACGATATTAGAGGTTTATAAATGAGGACAGTGCCTTCCTCCCCTTCAGTCTGAAGGAGCATTCTACATTTCCCCTAGTCAGCTTCTCACTCCATCCGTCAGCCTGCTCCATCCTGATTATCAGGAGACACCAATTTCAAAGAGACATCTTAATAGTGATGTCAACGTATTAATTAGAAGTGTTAATGAGCTAAAAGCAACCCAAATTAAATTAATGCAGCAATAGACAGAGAGCGAAATTAGCTTCAATTTCTGTAAATGATTCTGAAGTGTGCACAACGTATCAGCCTGTCTGAACATTCCCATCCCCCAAAGCTAATCAAGAGCTACATTGCAATTAGCTGCTTAATTAAAGCAACACTCTGCTCGGAAAATCCGGCACAATTAAGTAATGGCTGTTATAGCATGAAGACAGACTGTATTTTTCTTCTGGAGTAAAAAAATAGAAAACAACATATTCTATCCCTAATGGCCTGCAGGGGATTGAGCCAGCCAAGATGTGCCAAGATGGAGAGGTTTCTATCTCACGCTTCAATGGGGATCTTTGCTCCAGCTGGAAGCCTTGTGAATCAATGACAGCAAGGCAGATCAAACTGCCGTGCCCAGGGTAGCTAAGACATCTGAATTGGCACTGACTAGGGTGACTGTGTCCTAATCACCAGTTCTGTTTTAGCAGCTCAATGGCTTCCAGTTGGACAGAGGAGCTCCAGACTATTGACACTTTGCACATATTTCAGCAGTGGACCTGTTACTGATCCCTGTGGCTGTGGACACTGTTGTCCATCAGTCCCTGCTGGTATGGCTGGAATTTACCAGAAATGAGGGATAAGTAGTCTGAGAGCCAGAGGAAGAAAGTGGCTGTAGTTTTATATTTACATTTTCCATAAATCTGATTAATTTAATAATAAAAAGAACTAAACTTATAGCTAACACAAAGTGGGTGTCTTATTGGAATACTTTGGGCTAATTTGTTCCTGAAATCTAAATTTCCTTAATTTGGGAGACAAATATAGTGTTTGGGGGATCTAATTTGGGGGGCCTGTACGTAAGGTCATTTGAGGTCATTAGTCTCTGGAGCAGGAGGTGTCATTTAACCAAGACTGTGTCCCCATTCCATAGGACATACTAACTGCCCTAGAGGTCGAGGCAAATGGCTGGCCACCTAGAGCTGGGGCTCCTCGAGGTTTCTGCCTCTTAAAAGGAAGTTTTTCCTTGCTCATGGTGGGAATTGTTGGGTACAGTACGGTCTAGACCTGCTCTATTTGAAAAGTGTCTTGAGATAACTTTTTTTATGATTTGGCGTTACATAAATCAAAGTGAATATAAATGTATAGTACTAGTATACCTAGTATAACTGTTTTTTGTTTATTCAGTTTAGTATAGAAGAAATCAACCTACTTTAAGATGTTTTTTTCAAACACTAGTCCAAATTTCTTTAGTTAGTAGGTCCTCTATTTTTCTTTGTGCATTGCATTGTGGGACACTAGTGTCCATCAAAAGTACTTTTAACAATCTAGCCTTTTGTATCTTGCATATTGATGAACTGGGACACAGCTCATGTTTCTTCAGTGCTGATAGTAGATTTCCTGAGATGTTGTCAGAGGAACTAACAAATGCAGAAACACTTAAGTGGTGTCCAAATTGTGGGATCTTTTTTATTCCACTGATGAGTAACAGCTTTATTTAGGAATAATGATACCAACAGAAAACAAGATCTAATTTCTAACTAACAAAAAACCACAAAGCTAAGTTCAAAGTGAGGAACAACCCTGGCTACTCAGTTATTTTCTGGTTTTAAAAGTGCCTGAATGAGTGGTGAGCTGTGATTAACAGTCTTCTCGGAGGTGGAGTCCAGGGACTGTGGTGTAAACGCCATCCTTCAGCAGGTGTAGGCCACAGCAGAGCATATGCCGTCAGGTAACCAGGCTGGTTTGCTCTATAGAGACTCCACTGTGATCATTTCCCTGGGCCTGCTTCTGTTGGGAACCAGTGTCACTCACAAACACCATCTGCCATAGAACAGGTCTGCCTGCTTAGAGCATTTATCGGCGGGTCAAGGAGTGGTGCCTTCCTCTCAAAAAACCACACACCTGCTAAAGAAAACAAAGGGATAGGGTGCTTTGCACTGCTTTTGTAGCTCCTAATTTCTTCTTTAGGAATCAGCCATGTAAACATAAAACAGTAAAAGCACCAGGCACAAGAGATGGCTCAGACCCCACAGTGCTCCAGGATACCTTTCCCTTTGCTGAAGAGAGGGGAAAAGACACCTGAAGTGTTTGACGCTAAATTAGCTTTTCAAAGACAATAATTAGACTTCTCCCCTAAAGGTAAATTACCTGCTAACCAACTGAACTGTGTTCTAATTATAGGATCTTGCCTCTGAGCTATTGCCAAGGATCCTTGTTCCCTGCAAGAAGATGTAAAACACATTAAAAAAAGTACATGTTGAAGTGGTAAAGCCTACAGAATACACAGTGGAAACATGTTCTGTGCTCCCATTGCTCTGTAACACAGAGCTGAAAAACTGAAGGATCACTTGCATAACTGCAATAACCTTTGGAGGATTTAAACAAGATAATTTCACACAGCAACCAGATGGCAGCTATTGTTTCCTTATGTGCATTTTGACAGAGGAGGTTGACTGAGCAACACTGGATGGGTGACAACTAGGTACTTATCTGTGCTTTGCATATTTTGCAGTTGATGTCGTGACACTGCAAATTGATTTGTAAGACACGCAGTCAGCGAAAAGATATTGAATATTTACACTCGCCATGTAATAAAACCTGTCTGTGATGGGAAGGGTTTCGTTGGCCTTTAGGTCTAGGTAATTTCTCATTGTTCTGCTGGGCTGAGCGCTGAGCCTCCCGCAAGGCGGCACTGTGGCAGTGGATCGCTGCAAAGCCTCAGCGAAGGGCCACACATTTGAATTCATCACCCGTGCTGATAGCCTGCCACTAATTAATATGTAAATTTAACGTTGTTTGTTTGCTGCTGTGTCAAACTTTGATGTGAGGAGCAGCTTCCAGGTTAACAGAGATTTAGTGGAGATTGAGGGCTGGAGACCTGCCACATATCCCAGGCAGCCTGTAATCTAATATTTTATTTAAATACATCGACTAATACTGTATGTCTCCACAGCTTAGAACCTGAGAGACAGGCTAATGATATTTTATTAAGCCAGAGTAATTGAGGATCCCATCAAAATATGTAATTAAACACTTAAGCATAATTATCCAACACAGTAGGAACCCGAATGAATTAATTAAAAAAACGTCAATACATCAATTTATTTGAATTCCTTTGTCCCTTTTCTACTTGTAATAATTAACATTTTAATTGCCTTAATTTGTGATGAGTAAAAGAAATTCACACTTTATTCGACACCAGCAATAAAGCAAGAAATTTGAGCTCACAGGAATATGTTTGCAAGAAAATTATGATGAATGTTAGCCTCATACAGTCCATTGCAGAAGGAAAAACTGTTTAAATGTCTTTTTTGTGGACTAAAAGTGGGGGATGTGATGGGGTGTGTGTGTTCATCTGTGTGTGTGTGTGTGTGTGTGTGTGTGTGTGTGTGTGTGTGTGTGTGTGTGTGTGTGTGTGTGTGTGTGTGTCTCTTTGCTTGCTCACTTGCCTGGGTATATGTTCATTATCAGCAGGCTGCCTGGGTTTGATGCATACCTGGAGAGCAACTTAATATCCTCAGGCCACTACTACATGTCAGGCCATGAGAAAGATACACACACAAGACAGAGGAACATCTCTGGCCCCGGTGGAGCCATTTACCTTTCTCCAAGTAGGTTCAAGATATTAATTAAGATAAATCTACCTCAATTCACACATTCTGCCATCTGCCTATTTATCAGAATTATGTTAATCATTTCTGTA